TCCTTGGCCCTGATAGGTTAAAACATAGGTGGGAGGAGTAAACAGAATAGGATGCTGGGAGGAAGAGGAAGTGAGCTCAGACTCGACAGCTCTGCTCTCTGGAGCAGAGATGCCAGGCTGCGCTCTCCCAGGCAGCTCCGACCCAGGATGGATGTAGGCTAGAATCTTCCCGGTAAGCGCACCTTGGGGTGCTTACACACATTATTAGAAATGGGCTAGTCCAGGTGCGAGAATTAGCCCAGAAGAGGCTAGATAGAAATGGGCCAAGCAGTGTTTAAATGAATACAGTTTGTGTGTTGTTATTTCGGGCATGAGCTAGTAGGCGGGTGGGGTGCTGGGGACGCAGCCCCGCCGCTCCTATTTCAACACTGCCTCCTTTCTCCCAGCATTTAGTTTAGTTTTCCCTGCCTAGCTCTGTTCCCCTATAGCTCTGCTAAAGGCCCAAAGCAGTTCCTTTATTCACCAGTGGTATTCACAGCATACAGAGGGGAATCCCACATCACTTCATAGCAGTTTGTGTTACTCCAGTTCCAGAGGATCCCATGCCCTCTTCTGGCCTCCACGAACACTGCACTTCACGTGCACACACACACACACACACACACACACACACACACACACCTTTTTATATGTAAAAGAAAAGCAGTTACATACCAATTGTTCTACTTAGGAAATTTCCACATAAAATAGTTAAGTCATAGACTATTACGGAAATGCTATGGGCGATGGGCGTTTGAAGGAGAGAAATGACATGCATTTGAATCAGGAAAGGGGGTGGCATATGAATTATCCTTGAGGTATAATTAGGATTTCAAAATTTAAAGTGGGTAGGAATATTCAGGTTAAACTCAGAACATAAACAGGGGTGTCAAGAGATTCAGTACATTCGAAGGACCTGTTACTTCAGGCTGAAAGAGGGTGCTATGGCTGTGAAGAGACAAAATGCGGGGTGGGGCCATACTAACAATGTCAGCTTCTTCATGGGCAAAAGGCTGATGATTTAGGAGCCGGTCTATGGCATAAGAGGAAGATTGCTGCAGCAGAAATGCCAGAAGCACTGGCTGGAAGATGTAGAGCGCCCAAGAGTGGGAAGACCAGTTCGGATAGGTTATTGCAGTTTTCAGTAAGAGATGATAAAAGCCTGCAGCCAGGAGAGCAGAGGGAATTCAGAGAGGACACGGGAGAGGGAATCTTCAGCAAGAACCCAGAGTGTGCGCCAGGAGACCTAGATCGTCGGAACCACTGGAAATGATGGGTAAGTCACAGAGGGGTTGGGTTGCACCCCGACGCCACGTTTCACTTTTTTAAGTTCCTCTTTTTCTGTTTCCAGAGCTCTACTACTTTCCCCAGATCTCTGTGCTAAGTGGGCTTTTCCTTCTCACCCTGGCCCCGCGCTCATCCCCACGCCCCCACTCTGACATGGAGGCCTCCCTCGGCCCTCCCACAAGAACGACCCTCGCAGGTCAGACTCCGAGGCCGGGGGCACTCCACCCGCGGGATCCCCTACCGCCCGCGCGGGCGGCGTCCTCGCCGGCGTCCCCACGGCTCGGGGACCAATGGGAAGGCTGCGATGCTGGGACTCGACCAGCTATTGGTTGGCTCCGCCGTGGTGAGAGATGGTGCGGTGCCCGTTCTCCGCCCGGGTGCGAGCTGTGGGCGGTTGTTAGGGCGACCGTTCGTGACGTAGGCCGTCAGGCCGAGCAGCTGCCCGGCGATTGGCTGGACGATCGGACGATCCTTGCTTATTGGCGGCCGCCTGGCGGCTCGGAGCGTGCGTAAACGCCGTTCCTTCCGCCCGAGGCTCCGTTGGCTGGAGACGGCGGCTGGGCCGGCTTGGTGGCCTCCATTGAGATCCGGAGGTGAGCGGGCCGACTCTGGGGATCCGCCGGCCAGGGGCTGCGGGGTTGGCAGCCGGCGCGGCTCGCGCTCCGCCAGGGCCCACGAGGCGGCTGCGGACCGAGGGGACCGCGAGGAGACGTCCTTGAGGCCCGGCGGCAGGGCGGCGGCCTGGGAACCCGTGGGCCGGCTAGGCCTGCGGGCCGGTGCTGCAGCGGGGCGTCCGTGGGTCCTGTCCTGGGGGAGATGTGCTGGCCGGGCGGTCACGGTCATGCGGGTAGAACGAGTGTCAGACGCGGGAGAGGGGGACAGCGGAAGCAGATGTTCTTGGAGCCCTTGGGTACGAGTGTTCACGCCCAGACGTTGCCTTGCCGCAGGATCTCTAAAGTGATGGAGAAGGGCCCGATGCTGGCTGCAGTTTGACCCAAAGCTAGGATACGGCAGGTTATGCCCCCTCCTAGTGGGCCGGGAGGATGGGAGATGAGTGCAGGCAAAGCTGGCCCTCAAAAAGTCAGTCGGTCTGCCCCGTACGTCTTATCTTTCTCCTAAGGGGCGGAGGCTCATTGATACTGACGCCCTTACCTTGCGCCCCTTTTGGAATTTTTTGGTTTGAGTGAGGAAGACCGGACCTTCGAGGTTCGCAAGTTAAACAATGGATTTCTGAGGTAGGAGTGGCTAATGTATTCCATCTTAAGTAATCATGGAATATGACCTTACTTAAGGATGGGCCTTTTCCGGTTAGGTCCTGTAAAGCCACAAGAAACGCTTGTTCCTGGGCTTTACTACGATGTCTTAGTGTGCAGTTAGAGCATTTGGCAAAGTGGGGAAAACGTTTGTTGGTTTACTTGTGAGTTTATCTTAGGGCCAAGACTTGGATATTTCGTGAGGTTGGGCCGCATTTTGTGGGCATTGTTGTAGTGCCTTTCTAGAATCCGGTACATTTGTCAGTAAGCAGACATGGAAATTAGTAACGTGAAGAGCAGAAAGAAACTGCTTAAACTTGTGTGTATGTCACGGCTGTTTCAAGGAAAAATGTGAGCCTGTGGGGGAACGTGGCGCGCACTCAACAATGCTAGTACATTTTTGTCTAATTTGTAGACCACGAGCTACATTCTGGGATCAGTATCTGCGCTGTTAAACCCATATGAAATGCTAGTATCTGAAATTGAACTATGTTCTAACTCACAAAGTAGTACTTCTTTACGGTCCCTCTTAATACTTTGGCCAGAGAACTTCAAACTGAAGAGGAGATGCCTAGAAGGGGGTCATGTATAATGAGGTACTGGGTAGAGAACCTGTGTTCTGGTGCGAGGTGATGGTGTTCCTGTGTGATGGGAGCTTAGGAAAGCAGGTTACATCCTGTGGGATTTAAAGTGACTGCAGTAGAGGTTAGGGTTCTTACCCTCCGACATGTATTGATTAGTTTGAGGTGAGTGTAGATGCTGTACAATCGAAGATTGGAGTGTGTGCTACAGGCAGAGGGCTGGATAGACTGGAGGAATCAGAGCCTCCTTTCTGCAATTGGCAGTGCTGGGTGGCTCTAGTCGGAGACAGGATGAGAATTCAGGAGTTCCAGTACACTTAGCTGTGTGGTGGCAGTGGTGTATGCCTTTAAGGTGAGTTCCAGGACAGCCAGTGCTGGTACACAGAGAAAACCATGTCTCAAAAGGGGGGGGGGGGATTTCAGTATACTTAAATTTTCAACCTTTGAAGAGTCAGAAGTGTTTGCTGTATACTTTATTTGGCTAAGTAGGCATATGTTTCTTATATACTTTGTTTTAGGTAGGTTCTTTTATTATTGCAATACAGCACAGATGCTATTTGCTTAGCTTTTATAATCTGCCACATAGCCCCACCGGTGTCCCTGTAATTGCTGTGATTCCTGCCCTGTGAATGCTTTGCATAGTCACAGAAATGGGAGGTGCTCGTGAGAGGAGATGGTTTATAATTATGGTTACTTTTGACATACCTTTGTGACATTGCTCAGTTTGTATCTCCAGGTAGGTGTGGTTCTCTGTGTTTGGATTGGTGCACAGGATTTTGTGTAATTTTTTTCTACCTGAATATCAAAAATATGGATTTACACCTAGCAGGGGAAAGTGGCAGGATTAACAGTGCTCCAGGACTTCGGCTGGATGAAAAATCTGATATACCTGATGGAATACAGCTGTGGGTTTGGGATTCATTTGTAATCAATTGGGGTCCTTTCTGATAACAATTCAGATTTTAATTGAGCAGAATCAACTTTAATAGTGATGAATAATGTTCAAGCTTTTGGTCGTGAGGGGTGGAGAATTGGAAGTGATTTTGACTTAGATTTAAACTAATTTACCTTCTGAAACCTTGAAGCCAATCTTTCAGACGAGTTTGCAGTATTTAGTTTCTGATTTTAAAAAGAGAACGTATAAGAGAAGCCAGTAGACATGGTTTAAAGTTTTCAAACTTTAAATTCAGGCCCTGAGTAAAAGTATTTTGTAGTTGTCATTTCTTACTGTATTGAGCAGTGGAAGATGCTGGAAAGGCAAATGGTAAAGTTCATTGTGCAAGACAGAAAAAAAAGGAATAAGTTCAGACAATGCCTACTACATCCTATACCTTACTAATAATTGCTGTCTTTTCAAAATTAAGATCCACAGTAAGAAACACACATTCCAGTGAAACTGTCATGATCTATGAATTTATATAGTATCTGTGCTTCCTGTCTTAGCCAGCAACTACTTTCATGTCATTTTCTATTTTTAATTAAACTGTTCTTAACAACAACATTGATTCCATGATTGAATGAGTGTGTTGTGACCCCCTTGGGACACTAGCATGTCTGGTATGATTGAAACGTAGAGGGGAAAATGGAGTGTTTTCGTTAGAGATGATATTTGCTAATTGGCTTCATTTTTAAAAGCCAGGCCTCTATCTTTCTTAAACCCTCCACCAGGTACAAGGCCTTCTTTTACTAAATTTGTTGGTTTTTACTTTCATCAGTAGATAAGTCACTTTCTTAGTGAGTATGTGTGAATTCCTGCTGACACCAGGGGACTCAGTGGCTGGTTTTCTTTTCCTCTTTTGCATTGTGTGTTTGTGTGCACTTGTGTGTGCCATGGCATGAGGGCAAAGGTCAGAGTACACCCTCCAGTTGAGGATTGGTGAGGCTTAGATGCAAGTACATTCACCCATTGTATCATCTCAAAGGCCCTTTTTACTTCTTAATCATGATTGATTTTTATGGGTAATATTCTTCATTAGTTTTTCTGAAAGAACTGAAGCATACAAGTATCTCTGTTGGCCATCAGTGGTTTTGCAAGGTGACTCTTGAAATAGGAATGCCGGAATTATTAATTGGCCAGCAGATGTGGGAAGAGTGGTAGTCATTAGCTCAGATCTTCTTGCTATTATTTATTCTATTGAGAATCTTTTTGTCAGACAAGAAGTTACATTTGTTTTGTTTTGTGTTTTGTCCAGCAGAGGACCTTTCCCCTTTGTGGGTGATAGGGACAGGATAGGCGTTTTAGCCAGCCATCAGTCTCAGCTGGCTGTAAAACTTCAGGACCCTTCCACAGCTAACACCTTTAAATTGGCCTTCTGCCCTGTAGTTTGCTGAGAGAAAAGCAGCTATCCTAGCAAAATGCAGGCCCTCTTTTTTACTAACATAGAAACATCAGAAAAGACTTCTGAGGATAGCAACCTTCAGGAAATTATTAGACACTATGTCAGTGATATTCTGCCTTATGTTTTATAGAATGAAATAACAGAATCTTGCGTATAAATCACCATGGTTTATGGCAAGAAATCAACAAGCAGGTTCTTTGCTGTTACCTTTAGGCAGGCGGATGGTGAAGAGGGTATTTATGGGTTTCTTTTTGACTAACTAGCAAATGTGAGTAGTTGTTTCTCTCTTGTTTGCTTTGTCTTTTATTCTGTTCTTCTTGGCTCACATAATTACAAGGGGTTATGCTTGAAACTTAACTTTTAAAGAAACAGTTGCACAAAAGTTTGTTGTCAGTGGGTAATAAAAGATTTAAGTGTTTGAAGAAGTAACAAGCGTCATTTTAATAGATATTACAATTACTTCCCAGAATTATGTGGAACAATGAAATAGTCCTATCTGAAAGATGCTGCACACTGGCCTAACGGCATTCTTTCGTTTAGCTGAAGGTGAGCTGTATGCTAAGTGTCCATGTGTGGTTTTCCCTCTAGGATCCAAGGACCGTGTAGCTACAATGTTGTCAAGACTCTTCCGCATGCATGGCCTCTTTGTGGCCTCCCACCCCTGGGAAGTTATTGTGGGAACGGTGACACTTACCATCTGTATGATGTCCATGAACATGTTTACTGGCAACAACAAGATCTGTGGTTGGAATTATGAGTGCCCAAAATTTGAAGAGGTTGGTGAGATTTGATTCTGACTAAAGTAAATTTCTAAAGAAAGCCTCTTTTTTAGAGAGCATATAAGCAAAAAGAGTTCTTTCTGAGTGAAGTCTTTGTTGGTGGGCTTACTTTAGATTCTCAGCTGTTCACATGGGGTGGATTGCACTTAAAATGTTTTTTAATACTAGTAAGTGTAATTGCCTCTGAGAAATACACTTTGTGTAAGGACTATCAGGGAAAAATGAATTGTGAAGAATTACATCCAGATTGTTTAAAATTGCTTTCCATTTTCTATTGTGTTGGCTGTTTTGATTTGGTTGTCCTATGCTGGCGTTTACATTCTTGTGATAATATGTAAGCCAGTGACCTAGAATAAAGGTGGTGGTTTTTGTACTTCCTGAGAGCTTTCTCTCTTGGCCGGCAGGATGTCCTGAGCAGCGACATCATCATCCTCACCATAACGCGGTGCATCGCCATCCTCTATATTTATTTCCAGTTCCAGAACTTGCGGCAGCTGGGCTCCAAGTATATTTTGGGTAAGACTGGTTTTCTTCCTTGCATGCTGTCAGGCTTGATTGCTGAGCGGAGTGTTTGGTACATTTAGTAGTTCCTTGAGACTTCTCAGTAAATATTCTCAGATTTGAGGCCTCAGTAATCTAGAGAAAGTGATATTCTTAGCAGAATATTGTATGAGACTGAATGTTAGCATCTGTGTAATAAAGAGTTCTGAGTGTTGAATTTTGCATTTCAGGTATTGCTGGGCTATTCACAATTTTCTCAAGCTTTGTCTTTAGTACGGTCGTCATTCACTTCTTAGACAAGGAACTGACGGGCTTAAAGTAAGTATTTAAAGCTCAGGTGTGTGTTCTCTAAAATGTATTTCAAGAACCTTTATTCCCTGTGTGTTACAAAGGTGATGTGTAAATTTAGAAGTTTAGAAAATGGGAATTTTTTATGGACTCGCTGTTAGCCAGTTAACTGTTAGCATTTGATAAATATCCTGTCCCATTTATTTTAGACATTGTTTTGAGTGTCATACTGTATGTGCTGTCTTAAGTCTTTTTCCCCAATGTATTTTGTCTGCATCTTTTCACATTCTTAATGTTAAGTTATTTGTGCTGGCTATATAGTATTCTTCTATATGACTGTTTTGTAGTTTGTTAATCTAACATTGGATTAATTGAGTTTCTTCATAAATATGATAGTGAATAATATCTTTATAGACAATTTTTTTGTTCATGCTGTTACCTCCTACTAATTCATTTCAGGGGTATCATGGTGGCTGTGGGTTTGCTTATTTGAAAACTTTTTTAAGCCTCTTGCTTTTGTGGAGGTAGGGTAAAATTTTAATTCTGTTATCATCAATTTGTATATTGTACATTTTTCTCAATGTTAATTCAAGTAATCTTTATACTAGAATAACGCTTTTCTGAGAAACATTGCACGTGTCTCTCTATGCTCATTTACATCTTAACATGAAGTGGTATTAGTTGAGCTGGGCATAATGGCAATGCCTGTAATACTAGCCCTTGAGAGATTTCCGGAATCAAGAGGATCTGGGGTTCAAGGCCAGTTTCAGCTACATAGGAAGTTAGAGGTCAGCCTTTGTCTCAAAAAAGTAAAACAAAATAAAGTTCAGCAAGTATTTTGAGCATCTGTTAGCCCTGAGGCTTGCGAAGACTCCTAGCATTAAGTATGGCACTGCAGGGTCATGCTAAGTGTGTGGTGTGGGAAGGGTTACTGTAGAGAGCGTTCTAAACCATATTTTCCCTGTATTAAACGGGACTTGTCTTGATTTGCTTTCCCCAGTGAAGCTTTGCCCTTTTTCCTGCTTTTGATTGACCTTTCCAGAGCAAGTGCTCTAGCAAAGTTTGCCCTGAGTTCAAACTCACAGGTGAGTATTGTTTAATGAGATGTCATCATTGTTCAAAATGTAACAGTTGCCTCAAGCTTTTAGATTGAAGTTCTAAGACTGATTTGTGAGTGTCTCACTCACTTCCCCGTTTTCCCTTTGAGAGTCTCCTGGAATTACAGTGCAACGCCTGGATATAGACATTACCTGTCAATCACTTAGGGAATAGAGTGAATGTTTTGGTTACTTTCCTCATTGCTCTGACCAAATACCTGGCTTAGAGCAGTTTAAGAAAGAAAGGTTTCTTTCGGTTTATGGCCCCAGGGGATATAATTGGTCATGGTGGAGAAGGCATGCTAGTGGGACTGGGTTCCATCTAGGAGATGAGTGTGCATAGGAGGAGGTTGGGCCAGCCAGTGAAACCATAAAGCCCACACTGATTCACTTTTTCCGATGAGGCTTCATATCCTTGCTCTTCCCAAGAAGCACGACTTCTTGGGGACCAAGTGTTCAAACACGTGAGCCCTTGGGTAGGCATTTCACACTAAACTAGATCTGGTGCCTAGAGTCTAAGTCACATTTGTTTTTAAGCCCCTCAGATTAGCATCTTCCATCTTAAGCTTCATCATGTTAACAAACTTGTATCAGTACTTTTTGAGACAGACTCTGTGTATCTCAGACCATCCTGAATTGCAGTGATCTCCTGCCTTGGTCAGCTGAGCTCTGAGATTGCAGGCATGCACCTCCATGTTCTACTTAGATAAGGACATTTTATAACTATCCTTCAGAGACAGGCATTGAACCTAGGACCTTTCACAGGCTTGGCGAGTGCTCAATCACTGAGCTACCCACTCCCCCAAGCTGTGAAGTAGCTCATAATTGTGGCTCATTTATGTATTGGATAATGGAATATGATCATTTAAACATTTTGATAAGAAAATTATCTAGGTTTTATTGTACTAATGTGACCTCAAAGAATTCTCAAGTAAGCTTCTGTCAATGGGAGCCACAATATAAAACATTAATAGGTGGAATTTAAGTGGTCAGATTAACTTCCCACCTCAAAGGAATATTCCTTAGAAGTCTGTCACTCAGTGGGAAGGGAAGCGGGGTCCTAGTAGATGTTTGTGTTGATGGTGTGGTGAATTGTACTACTGCGCCATTTTGCCTCTTGGATGTATGCTCTCGTATCACATCTGTTCTTTGAGTAGTAAATAAGTGTAATGTAGGATGCAGGGTGCTCTCTAGCATTTGTAAAGGACTAAATTGTGCTTTCCAACCACCAATGTGTTTGTTTGGTCTGTGCTTTAGGATGAAGTAAGGGAAAATATAGCTCGTGGAATGGCAATTCTGGGCCCCACATTCACCCTTGATGCTCTTGTGGAATGTCTTGTAATTGGAGTTGGCACCATGTCAGGTTTGTAAACAATTTCTAATATGCTTACAATTAAGTAGGTCATTAAAGGGAAGCTAGAAGGTCTTGGATTTACTTTGTTTTTTCTTGAATTCTAACTTAAATGACTTGAGCTAGTGTGAGGGTATATGGACGTGTGTGTGTGTGTGTGTGATAAAAATGTAGCAGCAGGTTACTGTAAATATTACTAGTGTGAGGGTATATGGACGTGTGTGTGTGTGTGTGTGTGGTAAAAATGTAGCAGCAGGTTACTGTAAATATTACAAGTGTGAGGGTATATGGACGTGTGTGTGTGTGTGTGGTAAAAATGTAGCAGCAGGTTACTGTAAATATTACTAGTGTGAGGGTATATGGACGTGTGTGTGTGTGTGTGTGT